TTTTAAATTGAAGGTAACACCACGTAATTACTCATGTAATATGATTTTTATGTGATATTCTCTTCCAGCAATAATGTTTAAGTGCACAATCTGCGATAAAATGTGCGATTCAAAATAACAATGGCACAGGCATAATAAACTCACTCATAAATTGTCAGTCAAGTTTTGTTATGACTGTAAGCAATGTGAGAATACATTTCAATCTAAAAGAGCTCTTCAAAAACACCTAATAACAAGTCACAGTGAAAAGAAACTGCGATGTAAGGAGTGTGGAAAACTTTACAAATTATTGAAGACCCTAAAAGCGCACATTAACATAAAGAAACATAATTGGATTAAAACAAGAAAGTCAAGACTAATCTGTCCTTTTAATAATAGTTTTAATTTTGAGACGTATCAGCGATTGAGGGAACTTTTGGTAGAAAGTCATTCGGTGCAAATAACACCTGAATATTACATATTTAATACGGATGCAGGTACTTTATATGAACAATAGTTGAATGAATTGTTTTGCTAAAAATGCTCTATAAATTTATAGTATTTAGTAGTTTACAATTCAACAATTTAAATGAATATGGTGCTTTTTAGAATTTGATTATTGGAAAAATTAAGAGAAAATAAGTCAATTATGCTAAAGACAGTAGGTGTAGAACGCTAAAATCTGGCGCCGTACGAGCTATTTACATATGCCACAGATCTTATGCCCCAAGAGAAAAAAACAGTCAATGGAAAAAACGGTTTAGAAACTTAGATTCGAACAAAATTAATAAGGCCTGTCCTTCTATTCTAGTTGTCACTAAAACTCCTCATAAACTACTAGTTCTTTGGTATCCAGTTCATATTGGCCATTCAAATGAATTAGGACAGTTATCCATTCCTAGCATAGACAAACAGCAAATAGCAAGTAAATGTTTTTTAACAGCAAATAAATTTCTGACTACTGAATTACACATTTATGATTTTAGGTAAATTATCTCAGGGAGTATCTGTTAGTCGGATTCTTAATGATATTAGAGCGGATATCTCTGAAGATGGAACTAAAATAATTCACTTAATAGAGGAACAAGACATTCATAATACAAAAAGGGACTTTTCTATCGGTTAAGTCACCAAAAGGCATCAAAATGATGCAGTAAGAAGAAAACAGCCCAGTATTATTTTATAAGGAGCAACGATTAGAAGATGCAGTTCTCGATAAAAATGACTTCGTCCTCATTATCATGACAGATTTTCAAGCCAACTGTATATCAAAATTTGGAAGTCACAAAATTTGTATTGATGGAACCCATGGGTTAAATGCCTATGGG